CAATCACCAAAAAGGCAAATTTTACAGTTGCATGTAATCTCCATCCCAACTACACTCTTAAAAATCACATGAATGAAGAAAAACTGGAGGGAGACACACCAAAATGCTAACAGGGTTGAGCCTATGGGCACTCTTTTCTCTTTCCCATTTCCCAAATATTATAATGGTTATATACATACATATAATGGCTTATAATTTTGATAGATAGATAGACAGATGGAAGGAAGAAAGGAAGGGAGGGAGGGAGGGAGGAAGGAAAGCTTCCCCATTTAATTATTTTCAGGTCACTCTCTCGTCTGTTATCTCATTGATTCTTGCACACCCCTTTGAGGGAGTCAGTGTTAAATAGTTCTATTTCATAGACTGGAACACAGGTGGAGTGTTTCTGACCTGCACTAAGTCACTCAGTTGGCTAGAAGGAAACCTCTGAGTGGGTCCTGGGTCTCCTGAGTCCTGCTATCACCCAGTGGCTGGCACTTCATCTTGGACACCCAGAGCTCTAGGATCCCCACTCTTAAATGGGAATAGCTGTTACCTGGGCTTTGGCCACATGGTCCAAAGTGAGGGTACCTGTGGCAGCAGAAGACGGACTACGTACAAGGATGTCCCCAAAGATGCCATCCCCACCCGAAGTCCTCTCCCACCTGCTCCTTTCTAGCAAGGCACCAAGTCCATTGGTAAAACTCCTTGGAAATGTGGAGAAAGAGAGAGAGAAAGATCAGTTGTCAGGACCACAGGCTGTTTGAGAATCAGGCTGGACAACATTTCTCAACTCTAGTTTTTGGAGAGGAAAAGTGTTTACCGAAATGGGTCTGTCCTTGTGCTAGTCAATGTCTTCCTCTTGCCACTTCTTTCTCCCTCCAGCCCTCTGAGGAGAGGTTGCCAGGGGCTTGCTGGATGACTTAAGCAGGTGTCCACTCAAGACCCTGGGGGGGGGGCTCATTTCAGAGAAGGTGGGGGCCTTAGAGAGAGGGAGAACCCAAAAGCCCCTGCTCCCAGCCCACAGCACTTTGCACTGGACCAGTGGGACCTTAACGTACCACTAAACGGGTGCACACCAGAGTTGTGTGGGTTTTGCTTTCTACATAGAGTCTTATCCCTGCTCCCCTGAAGGCCATCATTTCTGGCTCCACGTCAACCACCACTGTCACTACTGACTAATGGGACAGAATGGCCTCTGGGAGAGATGCAGGGCTTTCTCCTAGAAAGCCCCTCTTGATTCATAATTAACGCCACTGAGGAGTGGCGGTGTGCCCCTTCCTCAGGGAATCTTCCCAACAAGTTTCTGCGTTAGGTGCTGTTACTGCTGCCATTTTCCAGCTCAGCTGAGAGACGGAGAAATGACTCCTCCAGGGTAACATGGCTGCTGAGTGCTGAATGCGGCATCCGTGGTTCACCTTCCATGCTTCAGAGTCCAGCATGGGACGCTTCCCTGGTTCTCAGAGATGTCCATTTTGGAGACACTTCGATGAGTGACTCCCACATTCTAACTGACTTTACAGTAAGTGTGGGCTTTGGAAAGCAGAGTAGAGAAGAAAAATTTCCTCTCCAATCCCTTTCTGTGGTGAAGAAGTGGGTGAAGCCATGACAGGGCTCGTGGTTCCTGGCTGTTTCCCTGATTCTGTTCTGAACTTACCTGTCCAGAGCTCTGTAAGCAAATACAAACTTGGGGTTTGGAAGAAGAATAATGTCATGGGGCACAGAGTGGGAAGGGACTGTTCCCTGGACTAAGAAACTGCCAAAATCTTTAAATATCCTTGCACTTTTTTTTTTTTTTGGCTCCCTGCAGTGTTTTGGTGTTTAGATTCCGTTGCCACGAGTGGGCTGTTTTTAGCTGCCTAGTTCCGTCCCCACTCCTTTTAACTTTTTTCCCTTCCTTTCGCACATGCCCCGGCATGAAGTTTCCAATTCTTATCTCAGCAAAACATACTAAGGCTGGGTGAATGTGGATTCCCTCGGCGGTTCTCCAGCGTGGCACCTCAGCAGTATTCAAATTTCTGCTTAACCCTCTTCTCCCGAGCCATACGCACCCTCCTCCCCGGATAATCCCAGCCCTGCGCCTCCGTCTCAGAGGAGGAGGCGTGCTTTGCCTTTGCTTAGAGGAGCGTTTTGGTCTGGGGAACTTTTCTGGCCCCTCTTCTAGATGGTACAGAGTGCGCACGCTAGACATCGGTGGCTTTACCTGAAGTCAGGGTGAAAGGAGGACACCCAGGACTGAGATATTGATCACTCCTCCTGCGGCGCACACCTTGGGGCTCTTCCCCAGCGTGAATCCCTCCCAGTCTCTCTCCAGCTGGGCGGGCATTTCGCAGTCCTCCCGGGGGGCTGGGGGCAGGGAGGCAGGCAGCCCTAGTTTTTGTTTTCCTTGGATAAGAGTTTCATTCACAAGGGGTGGACTTACTTCTCTGTCAAGATTCTTATCACTTTTGGAGTTTCAGCGGGACTGGGAAGCAGAGAATGCGAGGCTCACGCTTCTGTGAACAGCTGACAGCATTTTCTGTCCGAGGGTGACTTGGAGATTCAAAACCAAGACTTAATTTGAATGAAACAAGACCAGTAAAAGGAAGAGGAGGCAAGATGATAATAAAAACAAACAACTAGGGTTGTAGACTTCTCTATCGTAAATTACCCTTCTCTTGCATTGTTTTGTGGAGGCTGGTCTGGCTGTTTGTTTACCCTACGCCCTAAATTGAATTTCCCCACAATCACAGGACTCAACCACAAATCTGGCTTGGATGTATAAAAATGTAAACTGGTTAAAGATTTCTGTAGGCATTTCAGGGAGAGGAAAAAAAGAGGGGGAGGGGTATTTCACATGTTCTCCATCTCCTTGTTTCAATTTACGATGGTGCAATTTATCCCAGAACAATAGATAAGTAGATATAATAGATGCGTAGAAAATCCCAAATAATTTTCATTTAAATGTGTAAACGTTCTTCCTTCTGGTCTTGCAGCGTTCTAGGGGTTGTGCCGACACGCCCGGGGTTTACCTGCCCGCGCGTCTGCAGGAGGGTGGGGTGGGGGGCGTGGGGCTGGGTGAGAGGGGGTGTGGGCGTGGGGTTGGAGGGTGGGGCCAGGAGAGCCGTTACCTGGGCGAAAAGTAAAGCAAAAACAACCGCCCCACGCTTCTCGCGCGACGCATCTGGAAAGCCGCTCAGGTGCAGGGCTACATCCTCGAGGATCCGGTGTGGAATCCCTGGGCTCCCAGACCGGCTGGGGGCGGGGGAGGGGGCTTCCGAGACTGCCCTCCGAGTTGTCTGAGACCTGCAGTTTCACCTGCAGCTCTGAGGGGCTCTGCCCCCCAGGCGGCTGGGCAATCGGAGGGGCTGGGGAAATGGACAGATATTCCCAGGTGTGTGTAAGTGGGATTGGGGGAGTGGGGGAGGTGGGGGCGACCCTTCCATCACCGCCGACTGTAGGGGTGCAGGTGCCGGTGTGGGGCTGCTGGAGGGGGTCCGGGCTCCAGGACCCTTCTAGTTCTTACTTCAAATTACCAAACTATGACCTTCGATCGCCTCTCCCAAGAGCCAGGTGAAAGCAGGGGTTTTTGCCCCTAACCGTGCCCCCAATACCCCACGGGCGCGCGCGAGCAGGTTCGAAACTTCGCGAGCCACACTCGCGTCCACGTATATTCGTCCTTGGGCAGTTGAGAAGGTCCCTGGTTCTAACACTCTCGAAGCCGAGACAGCTGGGGTCGAGGAATCGGAACCCGGAAATCGTTTTAAAGGCTCAAATCCAGCTCTGTTGAAGCCCCAACGAGTATCTGGAGCCATAGGACCCAACCTTTCCCGACAGCCGGGCTGGAGGGGCGAAGGGATTTCTGCTACCGGGCCTCATTTCGGCTGCGGTGAGTGCGCCTCGACTCCCCGCCGTCTTGCCCCAACCAATTCCGCTCTGGGAGCAGAAAAACGCGTGAAAGGCGAAGATGGGTTTTCCCTAAACGTAGCCTAAGAGGGTGGCGACCCCCCTCCGCCTGGCCCGCGGGGATCAAAGCACCTTCTCTTTCCTCCTCGTCCCGGCGGCTCGGTTTCAACCTCACCCTTATTGCCCAAGTTGCCACTAATTTTTCAGCTCCTCTCCTCTTTCCATGTTCTGTTCGTTTCACTGAGAAACTGCCCGTCAATCTCAAACGCTTTGTGGTTGTTAAAAAAAAATCCTAATCGGCACGGTCCTAGCACCTGCCCCGGCCTCGGGGACCCGCTCTCCGCCCGCCCGGAGACGGTTCCGCGTATGCGCTCCTGCGGGGTGTGCCCGGGCGGCGGGCTAGGGCGCACCGTGCCGACGGAGCGCTGCCCTCCGCGATTGGGTTAACGCGCGGACTTCTCGCGGGCCAAGGGACGGAGTTCAGCCCCGGCGGGTAACTGTGTGGGTTCACGCAGGGGTCTTTTGGGCACCTCTCCCACAGCGGGGGCTACCGCTTCTGACCCTACCCTGTCCCCCAACTCGGGAAGGCGGCGTCTGCGGGGGGAAAGGGGCCCCAGAAAATGACCACGCATTTTAGAGAAAGGTCGTGCCCGCTTCCCAGCCTCACCTAGTTTGGGTTGCGGCCAGGCCCCGCCCCTCCATCTCCCCCCCGTCCTCCAACCTAGCGGAGGGAGAGATGCCAGCACAGTGGAGTCATGCCGCTGGCTTGGGCACCATTGGCTCATGCCTGGAACACGCAGCGGCGAGTACGCACATCTGGCGGCCCGCCCGGACGGCTCCGGTCCTGATATGGAGAGAGAGGGCGGGCGGGTGTGCGTCCGAGAGCGAGAGGCCGGGAGAGCTTGTCGCGGCCGGCTCCTCCCCGAGCTTGCATCACCAGTCTCCCTCCTCCCTTCCCCCTTTGGCCCCTCCTCCATCCCTCCTCCCAGCCCAGCCTAGTTCGGCTGGTTCTCGGGGGAAGCTATTAATAGCATTACGTCAGCCTGGGACTCATAACCCGGAGTAAGCTGGCTCGCCGCCAGCCCGAGGGCTATAAAAGGGGTGATGCAACGCGCTTTGAGCCACAGTCGCACGCAGCGAGGCGCGCAGTGCCCAGCGCTCTCCCGGCGCCGCCGCCCGAACCCAAGCACACCCGCCCGCCAGTCCGCCCGCCGGCGGTGCGTCCTCGGAGCTCGCCCTTCTGCCCCGCAGACAGCCTGTCCGACCCCGCCCCGACCCCGCCCGCCCTCTGGACCCTGGCCGCCCCGCGTGGAGACCGGAGGTGAGCGCTGGAACCGAGTGAGTGAGCGCAGCGAGGGTGGCCCGCTTTCATTCCCTTTGCGCCCCTCTAATAACCAGTCCCGCGACCCCTGCGCCCGTCCCCGATCCGCGCCCCCAGCCTCTGGCTGCGAAAGAACTCTGGCCGAACTTCTCGCAGGCAAGGCTGCTCCTCGGCGCTTCGGAAAGTTTCTCGCAAAGAACTTTCTCTTTTGACTTGGGGCGCGAAAGGTTCCCGATGACGGAGAGGGCGGGCTCCGGCTCCTCCGCGGGCTTCGGAGCCCAGTTCCTCTCCGCCCTCGGCGCTCGCTTATCTCGCCCGGGGCTGGCGTGGGGAGGTGGGTGCGCGGGGGTGGCCGAGGCTGTCCGGTTCGCTGTCCCGCTCATCCTTCGCTTCGTGCCCGGCACCGCCGTTCCCGAGCCCAGCCTTCCCGGGCCCCGCGGAGAGGCACCGAGGCCGGGTGCCGGCGGAAGGGCTGCCCCAGGAGCGGGACCGAATGAATGGGAAAGGGACGGTCGTGCCGGGGTCGCGGGCGCGGCCGCTGGGGGTCGCCCTGGGCACCCTGGAGCGCTGGGCGGCGGGACCGCGCCGGAGCCTGGAGCGAAAAGTTAGTTGGGATAAGTTTAGAGGTGGCGGGCGTTCGCGTTGCTGTCCTGGGGTGGAAGGCGGTGAGGCTTCCCGGCACAGGCTGGTGTCCAACCCCTGGGCGGGAGACTTCTTGTCGCAAGGCTCTCACTCGCTTTGCTCTCGTACCTGTGACTCTTCCTCCGGCAGGTCCGCGGGTTTCTCTGCGTTTCGCACCTTGGAGGAAGCAAGGGTGAGAAGCCTGCGCAGATAGTTGAGAGAATGCCTTCGTGGTCTAGTGGCTGGGACCCTGAGAGCTTACACTGCACTTCGTGTCTTTGAGTCTCAGTTTCCCCAGCTGAGGGAAGTGGGCGCCCAGGGCCCAGTGCTGGCTCCCTCGGCCTGTTTGGAAGCACCAAGTGGTGGTTGGACCGATGACCATTAAGATCCTCTCTGGCAGAAGTTTTTCAGATTCCAGGGCGGTGTAACTGAAAGAAAGGGGACCCGTGAAGAGCCTTGAATGATTTGGGGGGTGGTGGGTCTCTGTCTAATGTCACTGACCAGCTTTGGAAGCAGTGAGGGGAGGGGACTTCTCTATGGGCCATGTCTTCCCTTCCTAAGGTTCTTTCCATTGCATTGGTTCTCCTCTGATCCTCCACACCCCATTTTCATGTCATCTGCTTATTTACTTTCCTCCTAACCATTTTCTTTTCCCGAATTTTATTACCCAGATCACATTTACCTCCTTGTGTTGCTAAACCCTTGATGAAGGGGACTGGGCGGGGGTGGGGGGGGGATGAGTGATAGAAAATTCAGGTGGTCTCCCCCAATGCACCTGTTTCAGTGTGGGTGACAGTTCCATTTGTTGCGGAGGCTCCCCATCTTCTTTTTTTTTAAGAGTTATTTATTTATTTGACAGAGATCACAAGTAGGCAGAGAGAGAGGAGGAAGCAGGCTCTCTGATGAGCAGAGAGCCCGAAGGATGCGGGGCTGATCCCAGGACCCTGGGACCATGACTTGAGCTGAAGGCCGAGGCTTTAACCCACTGAGCCATCCAGGTGCCCCGGAGCTCCCCATCTTTAAATGAAGGAGAAGTTGTTATTACTGCCCTTCCTATTTTGTATTTAGTATTTGGTATAGAATAATTCTACGACATATAGACTCTCACCTTGAGGATATCCTGGACAAAGACTGGGGTGGCAGAGAGGTTTGTGGTTGTTACCATCTGGGTGGTTTCAGAGACAGTGTGACAGGCCCCACTCCAGGCTGACAGCGCCAATAGGGTAGAGCCCCCAGCACCTGTGTGGCAGCTGTTGGAGCCTTCCCATCCTTTCTGTCTTAACCCCACCCCTCTCTGTCTCCCTCTTGGCTCTTTCTCTCCATTGTTCTCATTCTTCAGTACTCCCTCCCTGTCTCAGTGGTGTCAAAGCCGCACGTTGTGTGTACCAGGTTGCTAAGACTGCTGACTGCTCGTCTGCCTGGCCAGTGGCTCTATTCTCCATTTGCCTTATTGGTTGGTCCTATGGGTGTTGGATCTCTATAGGTGATGAAGCAAAAGGAGCAGTGGGTGAGTGGTTAACAGCTTGGTGAGGTCTGGGCCACTCACCAGCTTTATGGCCTTGGGCAAGTCACCACCTTCCTGGATCTCATGTTAATTGCAAAATGAACATCTGACCTACGTGCCTCTAATACCAGGCATTCCACCCCATTATGAAGAGTTTTTGATTTCTTCTGTTTTCACTTGGCTGGGCATGGAACAGGGTCAACGGTTGGAAGTGTCATCCAGCCTAGGGAGGAGGAAGTACATAGCCAGGACACCGGAGAAACTAGAAATGGTTTCATGTGTGAGAACTGGTTATTTCTCAAGTACGTGAGAGCAGTAGAAACAAGCTTTTACCAGCAAATAAATAGTGGGGTAGATTGGGAGCCCAGGGTCAATGAAAGTACAAAAGAAGAAAAAAAAATGACCTGGATTTCATTAGCTTCCAGGTAATTCCTGATTAATGGGGTTAACTTGCATTGACAACAACATTTTGAGTTCCCCTGAAATGGGAAAAGTGGAATCACAGTAGTAATGGCCATCCAGTGTGTATATAAATCGACCTTTGTGACTCTTGTATGATCTTCTTGACCATCTCGTGAGGGAATGGGGTCAGGCGATATTGGCCTCATTTTACAGATGAGGATACTGAGACCCAGAAAGTGTGAGTGGCTTATCAGTGATAAGCCCAGTGATTAGGCCCAGTGATGGGCCTATTCAATTTTTAGATAGGCTGGGAGAAAAACCAAGATAGGAAGTTTGTGAAAGACCAGTATCGGCTTCCTATACTGTGAGATGTTTAATGAGCAGCGCTTAGTGCGAGGAGGTGAAAATTAAAAGTGAAAATTCAGCGTAGTTGTAGCTACTAGGAAATAAAATCTGGGAGTTGAATTTCCAGTTAAAGAAATACATGAGTAAAGTTTCACTTTCTTGAAAATGATGAAACTGCCAAAGATATGACATGGTTTCTGATTGAAGATAATGAAGCAAAAGTAAAATGGAGGTTCTTTGTGGCAAGTCTGGACAGTTTTAAGATCAATGTAGAAAGCCAACTCAGAAAATCCCCAACGAGATTTTTTTGTTCTTCAAGGAGGGGGAATGTTGGCAGGTCTTGACTTTCAGAAAGTTGTCTGAAGCTTTAACTTCATTTTCCTCATAGGGACACAGCCTGAGCCTGGGCCCATCAGACCTTAAGAGACTGAGTCAAGGGGTAACTAGAAAGTAGTATCTCAAGAAATTAAGCTGTAGCAGAATGCAGAGAAAGCTCAGATCTCTACAAATGTAACTGATTTCCTTTCTGAAAGGCTTTTTTAAAGCATTTTTCTAATCCGTTTCCATCCCCCAAGTAAGCCCACTCATTGCTTTTCATGAAAACATTCCATACCACTGACATTCTTGTTACTTTCATCGGGATGGCTGACTTTAAACTAAAAAGGGAAAAAAACAGTCCTAAACAGCCCACCCCAAGCCCTGTGAGCTCATTAATAAACTTAGCCGTCATTAATAAACTTAGCCAGGGTATGAAATAGAACTACACTCAAATTCAGACTACTGAAGTGGAGGAGAGCCATCCAGTCATCCAAACAAAGGCCCCCCAGTGGTAGCTCTGAATTCCATCCTGGAACTACTGGGTTTTTAATCAAGTTAAGGGAAGGAAAACATGAATACACGGGAGAATCCTAAGCCTTGGGCTTCAGGAGGCTGTTTCTCAGAACTGATCACCGGCCAGAGAAGTATCCTCCCCACATCCTACGATGATACAATTAAACTGATAGAGGAACATGGGTTCCGGCTCACGACACAGGGCTTTGGGAAGAGAATGACAGCTGTTTCCCAGATTTCTTTGAACAGTCAGTGGTGGCACTGGTGGCCTGGCATTCTTGCCTCCATCAGTGTTTTTCAGATCGTAAGGAGGAGTCCGTTCAGAGGTCAGGGTGATCTCTTCCTAAGTGTTTGAGATCACGGAGAATGACCAGCCACCCTGCCAGCGGGACCCCGCATATTATCTGTCACAGAGCCAGCCCCTGGGCTGGAGGGATCCCGGGGAGGCCTCCCGGTTGTTTCATATTTTCCAGGGCACGTTCATGTATTACTTTCTCAACTCCTTGCACAACTCTGGAAAAAGGGGGTGATTGGTCATTAGCCTTCTTTTATAGAGGAGAAAACAGGCACTGGGAGGTGTGATGATGAGTAAGTAGGCCTCAAATCTGTGATCACCTGACCCCAGTCTAAGAATTGTATGGACAAAAGACCCGCTTAGGGCTCTGGAAATGCAAAAGATGAGCCGTCCTTTGCACAGAGTGCATGTTCTCCCCCTGGCTCCCTGCTTCTGCTTGCTTCTCCTCTCCACCGCTTCTGTAACAGGACCCCCACCCGCCCCTGCCAGCCCTTACCCCGCCAGAAAGGTTTGCTCTGGCTTTTTTGGTTTTTTTGCCATGTAAATAATGTTTTATATTCTATAAGTTCAGGGTGTGAGTTCTGGGGTCAGACCTAATCCAAGTCCTGATGCTGCCTCATACCTACTCTGAATTTGAACAAGGTGTTCAGCTGGTCTAAACCTCAGTTACCTCATCTGTGAAAGGGGGCTGGGACCTAATGCACGGGGTTCTCCTGAGGGTTAAATGAAATCATGCAGGTAAGGTTTCTAGTGTCAAGGAGACACTCGTTAAATGTTAGTCACACGCCAAAGGGCTTCCTGTCTACTAGACTGGGCCAGTGACTGCACAGGGCCAGATTGAGAAGGACACTCCAGGGGACAGTGTGCCTAGACTGTCCCCACATACCTGGAGAACTGACTGCAGGGATGAGGGGATGTGGCCGCTGCTGGAGGGAGGGCACGGCAGGCTGAGATTTGTTGGGGGGGGCTCTTCAGATTGGAACTGTGGGCCTCTTACGACTTCCGCCCTTCACTTTCCTTCCATTGCACCTTTCGGCTCCCTGGGCTATCGAGTGACAGAGGTAGATGAGAGCTCAGAGACTGGTTGATTTGACCCTGTCTTTCCCCCTTTCATGTACTCAGTGGGGTAGTCTGCGGGGGACAGCAGACCTTGGGAGCAGCCCGTGCCAGGCGCTGGGCCAGCTCTGGGCACGGGAAGGGTAGAGACACTCAGTCCCCATGCCACAGGTGCTCTCAGACATCGGCCAGATGAAGACTGAGACTCGGTCTAGGTCACGCTGCCCCTCAGTGCTGGAGCTGGTCCCAGGTTCCCTTCGATCCCCAGCCCCAGCCTTTGCAGACACCACGGGGCTGAACACCACCCCCCCACCCGGGAGAGGCCCAAATTCTTGGTTCCTTGCTTTGCTTCTCTCTGAGGTCTTTTGCTTCAGCGGTCTTAACCTTAAGAAGGGGCTACTGGGGGCGCCTGGGTGGCGCCGGTGCCTTCAGCTCTGGTCATGGTCTCAGGGTCCTGGGATCGAGCCCCATATTGGGCTCTCTGCTTGGCGGAGAGCCTGCTTCCCCCTCTGTCTCTGCTTGCCTTTCTGCCTACTTGTGATCTCTCTCCATCAGATAAATAAATAAAATCTTTAAAAAAAAAAAAAAGAGAGAGAGACAGGGCTACTGGTCCCTTGTGAGGTGACTCCCCCACCCCAGCCCCAGGCCCTGCCAGACTGGGCTGAAGAAACACACGTGCTGGCTGCGGTTACTGTCCTCATTCTCACTGACTTGGATCAAAATTCTTAAGGGAGAAGCTTCAGAGATTTATTTGCTAAATCCAAGAGTTCCCAGGCCGTCGTTCTTACTTCCATTCACGGACAGATACATTCGGCTTCGCTTCAGATACCTTCCAAGTTTCTTTTCAAAACAGAGACTGAAAGTGGGGTTACATAAGAGTCTCACTGTTGGTTTTTTTTTTTTTTCTTTCTTTAAATGCTCTTCCTCTTTCAGGACTGTTTGAGGCTACATTTGCGTATATGCGCACCAGCCAAAACTAACACCTTCTTGAACTCAGAGTAGCCTGAAATGCCACCCTTTATACATTTCAAGAAGGCATTTTATGCACATCACCGAGCTGTGTGCTTTAAGAACCTGTTTTCCTCAGGAGGAAGGCAGCATAAAATGAAAACAACACAGAAGCCCAAGGGGAGTGCGGCTCTGGTGTTGGCGGCCGCGGATATGGGGAGACTTGATCCCGCGCCCCAAATCCCTGAAGTAGTTTGGGTCTCCATATTTCTTTCAGCAAAATGATGCTTCAACACCCAGGCCAGGTCTCTGCCTCGGAAGTCAGTGCGTCTGCCATCGTCCCCTGCCTGTCCCCTCCTGGGTCACTGGTGTTTGAGGATTTTGCTAACCTGACACCCTTTGTCAAGGAAGAGCTGAGGTTCGCCATCCAGAACAAGCACCTCTGTCACCGGATGTCCTCTGCACTGGAGTCGGTCACGGTCAGCGGCAGACCCCTCGAGATGGCAGTCACGAAAACCGAGGTAGGTTCCCCGCGTGCTCTCCGGTTCTTCCCGCGCTTTTCCGCTGTACATCCCCCAGGCCGGGCGTGCTCCAGGCAGGGGGCTGCTCAGAGTGTGGTGACGGTGTTCATCACGGCAAGGACCCCAGCAGCCAGCCTGGGGAGCCAGGACCAGCCAGCCATTCTCACAGCCCCGGTGACAGCTTCTGCTCCGAGGGCACCCCTGTCTCCAACACTTGCACAGTTCCCTGTCGCGCACTCTTCTGTAAGCCACCCAGAGTAACCGGCGTGGTGACAAGTCTGAGAGCTGTTGCTGGCCCTGCGGTGGTGGCTCGAGGACCTCAGAGGGGAGGTCTCTGTGGGCTACTTTGTGGGCCTTTCCCTCGTGGATAAGAGATGGGAGTGTATCAGGCTTACTCACCTGCCATGACCACTGTCTTTGGTCAAGGGGTAGCAGAACTGGCCGAGAAAGAACTGAGTTTAAAAGGAAGTTGGTTCTGCATCTTTATGATTCTATAAAAGGGTGTGGTGGTAACAGTGACTCCTGCATAGGATTGAGCTAAGGCTTCAACGACATGGCGTTTGCTGGGGGTCTCGCTGATAGTCGGCACTGAGTGACTGGCCGCGGGGCTCCACATGACACTGTATCCATAAGCCATCATTAGAGGCATCGCTTGTGCTCCATTAACCTCAGGATGTCATCATCGCCTTGTCTGCACTGGACGGTGCAAGGTGGGCCATGGGACACACCCGGAATTTTTAAAAAATTCTCTAAATACCTTGAGATAACGGGATGTAATGGGAAGTAGTAGGCTCCCCATAGAAGAAAGAAAAGCATTTTGCAAGGGTATTTGGAGAGTTCTTCAGAGGAAGAAGCAGATGTCCAGTGCAGAGGACAGCCAGTGACAGAATATCTCCTGCTCTGTGGCCGTACCCCTTAAAGCCGCCCAGCTTATCCGCTGACTGTGTTTACTAAGTGACCTTCTGATTTTAGCTCAGTATAACAAGTAGGTTCTTCTGCTAGGAAGAGAATGCACCAACTAAATCGTTGAAAATTCAGGTCCCCTTGTTTGCTATAATACCCACCTGTGAAACCGATGGGCATGCGTGTGTTTGGGCAGCAGGACCCTGTTCCGCCAGGTCCCAGTCACCTCTGGGAAGGCAACAAGGTAGAATGAGGCAGTGCATCCCAGAGAGGACACAGGACAGGGAGCCAAAAGTTTGGGTTTACACCCGAGCTTTGTCGCCTTTTGGTTTAGTGACCGTGAACTAGTGATTCCTGGGTCTCCCCGAATGCACTGCTGCTGGATCCTCTGTCCCTCGTTTCCATGTCAGGACAGTCAGGAGATTGAACCGAATGGTTCTTTAAAGCCTTTTCTATCTCTGACAGTGTACAATTCTGAGATTTGCTCTTTCAAATACTTCCTCATATGAGAAAACCCTGAGTCCTTTCCCACCTACCCAAAAACACCTGTAGGGTTGTGTAGAGAGCACCACCATTGCTGAGTTCTTGATGAGGAACAGTGAGGTTAATATGATAGTAACTAAGGCTTACGTAGCACTGACTATAAGCTAAGCACTGTGCAAAGCATTTGAGTTTTATATATATATTCCTCCCAACACCATTAGATTGATAAGATTATTGATCGTATTTTACAAGTGAGGGAAACTAAGGCTCAGAGGAGGATGGTAAGTTGCCCAAGGTGTCACAGCTGATAAGTGGTGAAGCTGGGATTCAGAGCCAGTTTAGTTTAAACTCAGATGTCTGCCTGTGTGGTCCTGGGGTCCAGAATGTAAAAGATAAAACTGCCCCTTGCCCTGCTTTCCCCTCGGGCTTTGTTTCTCTAAATCGTGAGGCCTTCCATCTCTATGCAGCTAACTCAGTGTCGTCAAAGCCAAAGGACTAGTAATAAGACGGATCTAAGGTGACTACAGTGCCCCAGGATTTCTCTGATTTGAGGTGTGGCTCCCTGGGGAGCCCTTTCCTGCTGTCCGGGGCATCGACAGGTGACACAACAAGGTCTGACGTTAGCAGCCTAGACCATCACCCACTCAAGCCCACCCTGAGTACTTCATCCTGGGCGGTCTCAGGCTTCTAAGCCAAGCCCCGCGGCTGAACTTTGTGGGTTCCCCATCAGTCAGGATCAGAGCCAACCTCCAGAGAGGACCAGATCCTAAAGCGGGACAGGGTTTTTTCTCTGAGGACCCCCACAGCTGCATCAGGGTGGGGCACAGAGGAAGAGGTTGGTTGGTCTTTGCTGGCTGAGTCACTGGTTGGATCCTGGTCACCACCCACAGGTGGCACCAAGCCCCAGGCTGATAATGCCACTTTGTTTGGGGAATATGCTTGGGTTCCTCTTTTCCGGGAGCTTCATAGGCTTCTCTGGAATTCATGAAGGAGGTGCTTTCATGCTCTGAGTGAAGACAGAGGTGAATGGGGTGCCCTGGGTCTCAAATCAAAGAGGCAGGAGAGAAAAGGTGGCCGGCTAGCCGATGTTCCTGACGTCATTCCTAGATCCAGGGGAAAGGAAATGAAACAGAATCTATTTCCTGCTCCAAGGGATTACAGTCGTTACTGATAGTTTTCAATTTGAATATCCCACTCATTTCAGAATCCAAATGTATTTTTCAGATAAGCTGAATTTTAACTGACTAGTATTGTCAATGTGATTTTTTTAAACTATTTTTTAAAAATTTTATTTATTTGACAGACAGAGATCGCAAGTAGGCAGAGAGGCAGGCAGAGAGAAACAGGGAAGCAGGCTCCCCACTGAGCAGAGAGCCCGATGCGGGGCTCGATCCCAGGACTCTGAGATCATGACCTGAGTCCAAGGCAGAGGCTCTAACCCACGGGGTCACCCAGGCGCCCCAGTATTGTCAACGTAATTTTCACCAGCGGTTCTTCGGTTTGCTTTCTTCCTTTGCGAGTACATGTGGAGAGGTTTCATGCAGGAGGCTAGGACTTGACTTCTTCAGCCCTCCTCACATGGAGGCTGTCCTGCTTTGCCGTTTCTGCTGCAGTGAAAGGCGGCGTATTTAAGATGGGTTGCATTTTCTGCCTCCCATGAAGCGTGCGGTCTCTTGAATTTTATAGGTAGCTCCTGAAGAAGACGAAAGGAAAAAGAGGCGTCGGGAAAGAAACAAGATTGCAGCTGCCAAGTGCCGGAACAAGAAGAAGGAGAAGACAGAGTGCCTGCAGAAAGTGAGTCCTCCCTGCAGGGCTGGGCGTGGGGGGCGCAGGCGGTTGGTTCTGGGATAGAGCCCCGAGGCCGGCTGTGCGCTGAGCCGGGAGTCTGCTTGAGGATTCTCTCCCTTTGCCCCTCCCCACACTTCCTCTCTCTCTCTAAAATAAACAAAGAAACAGAGAGAGAGAGTCGTCCCCGCCTCACCGCCTCCTCCTGCTCATGCCTGCCCCCCACCAACCTCATTTGCCATCACAAGGGGAGTCAGAAAGGCCCCTGCCCAGAAGGATGTGTAGCTGGTAGTGAGAAGCCAGTTGCTGCAAGAGGGGGGACAAAGCTGTTAGCACCTCCAAGGGGATTCTGGGTATAGAAGAAGCAGGTGTGTGAATTAAAAACCACAGCTTGTCTGCTGCCCAGATTCCCAGCAGGCTTGGCCCGTCCACACATGTCCGGCAGCTTCCAGGCTGTAGGATCTGTCAGCCCAGTCAAAGGAAGCCTCCCTCACCCGTTTTACCAAGAGAAGGAAGCTGCCAGCTCTCATTGGCTCAGTATGAAAAGCCTTTAATTAATCTCCTCAAACAAGTTATTTCCTTAATCTGCAAGCAGTAGTTACACTCTTTTTTTTTTTTCCTGGGTGCTTCTGTGTTCTTAACTCCCTCCCTTCTCAGCTCATCCCGCGGTCTGTCCGAGGTCCCTGCTGCGTTCTGCCGGCTCCCCTTCTGCAGGGAGAAGCTCAGGCAGGAAGAGCATCTCCGGGCAGGTGGGGTGGGCCCTGGCACAGTCTTTCCCGTGCCTGTGTCCCCTCCCCCAAGTGTGGACAGGCCAGGGCAGAATGTCTGCCAGGGGTCTGCAGGTCCCCAGCGGTTCTGGTGATGGCTTCAGGGAGGCAGTGAAAGCGGAGACATTTTGTGTGCTGCCTTGTACATTTCTTTTGGGGAGATGAACTTCTCACTGAAATTAGCGACTCAGGAAAGACTAAGCACCATGAGTGTGCATTTCTTCCCAGCGCTCGGGGCCCCTGTGGGTCCAGGAGGGCTGCGCATGGACCCTTGGACTGACAAAGGAGTTATCTGAGCCATTGGTTCATTGCCATGAGAGTCACAACCCGCACTCAACTGTGAGTGGAAACTCGAGGGCGTCTCTGAAGAAGCCTCCAAGTTCAAAGGCTTCCCCAGGATCTGGATTCTTCCAGACCTAATGCCACTGTCCCAGCTTTGTGGCGACACTGTCCCTGGGGATCCCACCACACTCCCTCCCTGAGGGCCGTTCCCAGCCTGATGAACCCTGATGGCAGTGACCTCCAGCACCCCGAGGCCAGCCTCTCTGTACTGGAACCTTGGCTCTGTCCCTAACACTTATGTTGCTTATCCCCCAGGAGTCGGAGAAGCTGGAGAGTGTGAACGCCGAACTGAAGGCCCAGATCGAAGAGCTCAAGAATGAGAAGCAGCATCTGATATACATGCTCAACCTTCACCGGCCCACGTGCATTGTCCGGGCTCAGAACGGGCGGACTCCAGAAGATGAGAGAAACCTTTTTATCCAACAGATAAAAGAAGGAACATTGCAAAGCTAAGCCATCGTGGTATGGGGGCAACTGGGGAGTCCTCATTGAAACCTTCTACATCCCGAACCCTGAAGCCGTTGGAGATCTGACTACCTGTGCCCCTCTCGCATTCCAGCCGTGAAGAACCGTCGAGGCGGAAGAGCCCTGGGTAACTCAGCTGGGCCTTCCCTCTGTACCAGAGTGGACATTGGACCAGGATGAGGGCATCTTTTTGTCTCAATGCCAGGATTTAGGCCTTAATATGCTGGCTATTCTTGGATGCCGCAGAGGGGCCCCGGTCAGGGTCCTGCCCATCTTCTGCCTGGATTCTACCGAGACCAGGACTCTCATCATTAGGACTCATGCTGAAGAAGTGTCTGGACCTTGGGTGGATGGAGTGGGGCCACGTCCTGCGCTGCCACTGCCACGGCCATGCACAGGACACGGAGTGAGAATGGAGTTTAGCAATGTTGTACAATGGCAAGGGTTGTGCTTTCTAGCAAACCTGCTATCAGGCACTGGAATTACTGTGTGCGAGGCATCGCTGTGTCCAGGCTAGGCATTGTGCTCTCCTGGTGTTTGTTGTGCACAACACCGGTGTGATTTTCCTCAGATCTGGTTTCTGAGAGTTTGGGGAGTGATCACCACAAGGCAGTGTCTTACAGAATGTTGAGGTGGCCAGAAGAACTTGTCCACCCCGGGAGAAGAGAATTCTGCTGGCGAGCTGGGCAGCTTCCAATCACTAGAGAAAGCCCCCTTTCCCTCAGCACCCAGGTATTGATGCAAAACTCATGGGCGTGACTGCAGGTCCTCTGTCGCAAACTCAGTTCTAATGTCACAGAAGAAAGCAGGAAATCTGACTTCCAAAGGGCTAGGACTCTCCACTTGGTGACTTAGGTCAGGAGTTGTTTCTAGGCCAGAAGAGCCAAAGAATATTCCATTTTCCTTCTCTCGCGGTTGACAACCACATGGAGTAGAGACATGTTTGAAACCGGTGATGCCGAGGCTTTAGCATTGTTGTATGTTAGTGGCATTGTTTGTCATGAAGATGTTTGTAGAAATCTGGCCCAGAGCATTGAGAGCTGTGAGAGGTCATTCACACTGGCCACAGGACTCTGGCTACTGTCTGTTTAAATTCTGATGTTTCTGTGAAATCCTCAGAGTGTTTAATCCTACTCAATAGTACATTAAAATTTTCTGTAAGAGAAAATATTACTTATTTATCCTAGTATTCCTAACCTGTTGATATAATAAATATTGGAACCAAGACATGGTAAACTTGAGTGTCGTGCTGGTTTCTGTTCTTGTTCAATGGGTTTGTGGGTGAACTTGAGTCATTTCCCCACCTCCCACTCCTCCATTGTGGGCAGAGGGGCGTTTTGCTTAAAAATTCTCCCAGGAGGGGCGCCTGGGTGGTTCAGTGAGTTAAAGCCTCTGCCTTGGCTCAGGTCATGATCCCAGGGTCCTGGGATCGAGCCCTGCATCAGGCTCTCTGCTTAGCAGGGAGCTTGCTTCCTCCTCTCTCTCTCTCTCTGCCTGCCTCTCTGCCTAATTGTGATCTCTGTCTGTCAAATAAATAAATAAATCTTTAAAAAAAATATTCTCCCAGGAGTCATCCTTCGCTCTTTGGGGAGCCCCACGGTGAAATAGTTGACTTTAAATTCTGTTCCTCAGTCAGTGGCATCTGATGCCCGGTTTCTCACTGACAAGCCCCGGAACACGGTGCCAACCAAGTATATCCCATCGACTAACTGGTGTTAGCATAGAGTTTTGAAATAAAATCTGAATTGCCAAATACCACAACTGGGTTCTTCTGCACGTACAGACGCCTAAAGCGTAGACCCGTTGTTCAGCTCAACACCGTACCTTCTGCCACAGGACATTTCTGAAAGTAGTCACTCAACTACACCCATTATGTCCAAATATGTGTCTGATTGTTGTATGTGTTTCAAACACAAGGAAAGAATGGAGGAAGACAGGGAGAGAATCATTTAGATGGGATAGGTGTGCTAATTCAAAGAAAGGTACTCCGCCGAGTTTTCTGGAATTTCCAGAATAGGATTCCTTAGGTCTGGAACAGAAGTAGGAGCCCTTCCTCTTTGCATGCACACAAAGGTATCCGTAACAGGCTAGAAATAAAAATGGGCTGCTCTGCCACTAACGTCTTTCTTCGGAGGGAGAGTAGGCTTTGTTACAGGCTCAGACTCCTGTGCACGTGAATGCGAAGCTTGCTCCTCTGAACTCCTGCACGGTTCAAGTTAACCCCTGCGACACCAGTGTCCTGATTTTGCTGCTTTGCTTGCACATCAGGACACTTCCCAATCTCTAAAGATCCAGCTGGTGATAACACCTGTTATCCCCCACTTTCAGGAGATAATCTAGTTTCTCTAAAGGGTGGGGGGGAATTTCTCGAATTTACCCTCCGGTCTTAGGTGTAGGTGCCACCAATCAGCTGTTAAAAATTCAAGACTGTTTTTCTGAGCTGCCACGGAAAATGAATTAGAGGGGAAGGAAGTGGATGGTGGCTATGGCCAAAATGTTAGTGGAACTATGGTTAGTGGAACTGAAAGCTCCTTTTAGCAAGTGCATTAAAAGCAGTTTAATTTTCTGCGGCCAAGTTTGTGTTTTGATACTTGAATAAAAGATGAGTATGTATTTACCATCAAGTTGTTTAGTTCATCTTGTTTCACATTCGAAGGAGAGGGAAGGTTGGGAGGATCCAGGAGAATTATTTGGATGGGGACCTCTGCAGAATCAGACACCTGGTTTGCCACTGTCTTTCCATGTGGGCCGCCTCCTGCTGGGGTGGTGACGTCACACTGCAGGGCGTGGAAGAGTCCAGCCTCTCTCCTGACCTCATCCTTGTCCCCTTGCCTTTCCCTGACAGCTGGCCTGACACCTCTTTCAGAATGGAGAGTTCTAAAGGATTCTGGCCCCAGGGGATTCTGGAATTAAAACTTGCACTTTCTGCCAAGAGCTAAAATGCTACTTTCCATCTTTACCCCACTTTTCTCCCCATGGGCTTGGAACAAACCCTTGAAACCCAAACCCATATT